GTATAAGGTCTGGGTATTGAAACGCATGGTGTGAGATAAGGATAGCTTGATACGCATGGCTAGTAGGGGAACTACTAGAAGTCATGTAGTGTGATAAGTGTAGCTAAAACGCGGGATGCTATTTCGAGAAAAATATTTTCTTTAAACTTAAATCTGAAGGCTCCCACAATGATATAAGGAAATGAGATATTGTAAATTTATTTATGATTTAGGACTACGAGGCGGTACCTAGGGAGTGACCTTGTTGATATTTCTTTATGGCTGCATTTGTCTTTAGTTATTTTGGTTATTTCCTTTAAAGTTGTAAATTTTTGTTTTCTTTCCGCGAGGTATTATTTGTCCTTATTCTGTGAAGTTAAATAGTGACATACCACTTACTTGATTCATTTTCATTATCATTTTTTTATATTGTTAGACTTTTCACACTGTCTTTTATTATTATTCTAGTAGGGCATGAACTCACCTCGTCACTACTCTTCCGAGGTTAGGCTTGGTATTTACTGGGTACCGCTGTGGTGTACTCATACTACACTTCTGCATATCTTTTTGTGCAGATCCGAGTACTTCTTATCAGACAAGGCATTAGTGAATTATCCGTACGCGGAGACTTCGAGGTATATCTGCCAGCGTTCGCAGACTCTGGAGTCCCCTTCTATCTTATTATGTTGTCTTCCTTATTTTCTTTAGACTATGATGTATAGAGACATTGAGGATAAATTCTTAGAAGCTTGTGACTTATTTCTATCGGGTTTTGGGAGTTATAATTATTTGAATTGCAGTTACATTTATTTCAGATTTCTATTATGTTATTCCACATTGATAGGCTTACCTAGTCTTAGAAACTAGGTTCCATCACGACATCCTACGAAGGGAATTTGGGGTCGTGACAGGTAGGTCTTTTTATTTTATAAAAATAAACCAAAAAAATACCGAACAGTACCTAATAAATTTTCATATGAAAAATGTCACGCCCCATACCTCGGGGGAGAGACCGGCACCCGGTGCCTCACCTATCCTTGCATACCAACTTGCGACTAAGGGACTCTAAACATATAATGTCACACTTTGGCCGTGGCCACATTGCAAGACAATTTGCAAAGCAAAATATAAAACTGAACGGAAGCTAAGGCTGACTAAACATCAATATCAAGCTGGGCCAACAAGGCCGTCATAACTACTATAGCTGACAAACCAACAAAACATACATACAAGGCCTACAAGCCCAACATACTGCACTAACTGACATGATATGTCTACAAGGCTCTACTGATGGATGTACTGTGATAGGAACAGGGCCACGACCTACCCATAACCTATATACATATATACACAAGATGTACACAAAACTCTAGACCCGGCAACTCTGAAGGACGTGGAGCTTACTTAGAAAGATGAACTTGGGCAACACCTACTGAGGAGGTCTACCCGTCTGTCTGTCTGAACCTGCACGCATGAAATGCAGCGTCCCTAGAAAAAGGGACGTCAGTACGAAATAATGTACCGAGTATGCAAGGCAATAAAATAACTGAAAGCTGAAACTGAACTGATAATATAACAACTAAAAGTAACTGGGAGTCAAAGATGATCTGGAGATATACTTACCTGCTGATACTGACTCAACTCTCTCAATATAGTAAATAAAATAGATGTCCGGCCCTATAGGGCTCGGAACGTGTAACTGCTCCGCCGTAATAGGCTCGCTCATAGGCGCTCGGCCATACTAGGCTCTGTATCTCGGCCATGCTGGGCTCGCTCATAGGCGCTCGGCTGTAGTTGGCTCGGTATATAACTTTCCATCTGATCAGAAGTTGTCCAATAGAGGCTTGCCTACCGATTATAGCTTGATGGTGGGAAAACTACTGTAATACTATATATATATATATATATATATATATCCTCCGCTATCTTGACTGGAAGAAGACAATACTCAATTGAACATGAAGTCCCGATAAGGAAAAATACTGTAACTTATGAGACTAGGATAATGTATATAAATTCGGGAGTATGAACTTTTCTTTATGCCTCGTTATCAAACGCATGTAGTTACGAGATCATGCCAAAATGAAGGAAGGGCTTAACCTTAACATACCTGGAGTAGAAAAAATCCGTATGATATTCTTGGGAAAGATTACACCGTACTCCCTTAGAATCGCAAAATCTCTTTACTATAACATTACGTAGTCTCGTATGATTTTGGTAGCAAAATCACGTTGCTAACATCTAATCTTTTATGAATGAGTTTGCTGAAGCTTCTTTGAACTTTGTAGAGATTCAATAATGAATTAGAGAGGTCTCTTTTGATATTTGAGTGTGGGGCCTACTCACTAAGACTTGGCCACCAAAATTCAACTAACCTTTCTACCTTTCCACTTGAATTTAAGAGTCACTAGGTGAGCATAGTGTGTTGCCACGTTAATGCCTCCTTAACCTTATCCAAATATTCACCCTTTTTCCTTAATCAACTATTAATCCCCCACTAATCCAATAATTAACTAATTACTCACATAATTAAGAATTATCTCAAATTACTTAAAGCAGTACTCACTTTTAACACACTTTATACACCTTACTATCATGGTCATGTGGTACCTTATATGGTACTAGTTCATAAATACCGGGTATTATACCTCGGACCATATTTTATCCCAAATTGTCAAATTTTGACGAAACTCATTTTCTTCGATTCGCTTACCCTCTCACCTTCACGAATTTACTTATCACTTGTTTGAAACATCATAATGCTTATAATATCAAAATAATCTCATTCCCGAACTTACGTCGATTAACTTACGACGAAACTTCACGTACGGAAACATGGGGTGTAACAAAAAATATATTTATATATTAAGTTTAAAAATAATAATGCATTAAATTTTGCCTTTGGCCTTGGAATTATGAAATGGATGTAAACCAACAAGTAATTAAAATTAAAATCCTAATTTTCAAACCTATTATGTTGCTCCTACTGAAACTAAATGTAACAACCCGTCCGGTCTTTTTGAAAGAATTTGCCCCGAACTCATATTTATTGTTCCCTCTACTTCAGTTAGTGGTTATGTAACTTGCTTGGAAGATTTATTTTTGGTTTCGGAGTGAAATAGTACACATAGTCCCAAAAATAGAAATTTAAGACGTAGGATCGACCGTAGTTCGAACTGTGTGAAGGTGACTCCGGAATAAAGTTTTGACGGTTCCTATAGCGCCGTGGGGTGATTTTGGTCTTCGAAGCATGTTCGGATGTTGAATCGGAGGTTCGTAGGTCATTTTAATGTCAATTGGCGAAAGTTCGAAATTTGATGAATTTTGAAAAGTTTGACCGAGAGTGGACTTTTTGATATCGGGGTCGGATTCTGATTTCGAAAGTTGGAATAGGTCTGTAATGTCAATTATAACTTGTGTGCAAAATTTTAGGTCAATCGGAGTTGATTTGATAGGTTTCGGCGTCGGATGTAGAAGTTTGAAACTTTGAAGTTTATTAGGCTTGAATCGATATGTAATTCGTGTTTTTAGCGTTGTTTGATGTGATTTAAAGGTTCAACTAAGTTTGTGTGATATTTTAGGACTAGTAGGTATATTTGGTTGAGGTCACGGGGGCCTCGGGTGAGTTTTGGATGGTTAACATATCATTTTTGGACTTTAGAAGATTTTCTGGTGCTGGGCCGGTTCTGGTGCAATCGCACCTGCGCAAGGCTGACCTCCGGTGCGGTGTGTGGGCCGCAGAAGCGACGAACGCAGAAGCGGACGAGTTCTTGGGGAGGCTTCCGCAGAAGCGGGCGAGGGACCGTAGAAGCGCATCCGTAGATGCAGAATCGGGAAGGTTAAGTGAACACTCCGCAGATGCGGAGACTTCACCGCAGAAGCGGAATTTGGTCCGTAAAAGCGGAAAGCCTGGGCAGTGTTCAAAATCGAAAGGCTTTGTGATTTTTGTCATTTTGGACTTTGCAAACTCGGTCTAGAGCAATTTTTTAGAACATTTTCGAGGGATTTCTTGAGGTAAGTCTCTTGTGTTTATTTTTTATCAATAATCTTGTTTCCTCGTTGTTTTCCTCACCTAGATTATGTGTGTTTAAGGTGGAATATGGGAGTTGAGGCTAGGGATTTGGAAAGTGTAATTTGGGGATTTGAGTGGCGACTTGGTATCGGATTTTGGTAGTTTTGGTATGGGTGAACTCGATATCGAATGTGTGTTCGTATTTTGTGACTTTTACCCGATTTCGAGACGTGGACCCGAGTCGACTTTTTGGGAAAATTTTTCGATTCTTTGCTAAAGTCGTAGATTTATGTTAATTAGCTTCTTGTAGTTGTATTCATGTTATGTAATTGCGTTTAGCTAGATTTGGGCCATTCAGAGTCGGAAAGTCGAGGGAAAGACATTCTTACCGATTGATTGAGCGAGATTGGAGGTAAGTGGTTTGTCCAACCCTGTGTGGGGAAAATCCCTTTAGGATTCATACTGTTGTAATATTTTGTGATATGTGAGCGCCGTGTACGTGAGGTGACGAGTGCCTACACGGGCTAAATTTGGAAATATCGCTTCTTGCTAAATAGTCTTCTTTTAAATTTTTTAACTGAGTTGCTTTAGTATATGCAATGATCATGTTTAGTCTAGTATCATATGTACGTGCCCTAACTCTTACTTGCAATATGTGCAACATGCTTAGCTGAATTACATGCTTATTTGATTTGATTTAAATCTTTAATTGTTAGATTCTTGCTGCAAATTCGTTGTTTTCTTCGGATATCTGTTGCATATTTACTTTGGGACTACGAGGCGGTTCCTCAGGAGATTCCCTGTACTGTATATTTACTTTTGAGACTACAAGGCGGTTCCTCGGAAGACCCCCTGTACTGCATATTTATTTTTGGGGAATAAATAGTTAATGATAAGGGTAAAACAGGGAAAAATTATCGAAGTAAGCAGCTAATTAGAGTTCAGAAATTGTATCGAAAAATGAATATATCGTTTCTAGCTTGTTGTCTCTTTGATTTATGCACAAAGAAATTAGTCCCTAATAAAAGTATCTAATTTGAGCTGAAACAAGGTTTAATTTATTAGGCGCAGTAATGACGCCTTACATTTGTCTCTTCTTATTTGCTTGTTTGCTGTTGTGCATCCATATTCTGAAAACTTGTCTCTTGACACCCACTTGGTTACAGAAGTGTTGCAATTCTTGTTCGTCTTGCTTCTGTATACTCCATCCCACCTTCTCAGCAAATTCATGCATTCTTTCTTTTTGTTCCGCTGTGAACTTTGTCCTAAATCTCTTCTTCGACTTCGAACTTTGTCCTCCTCCGGCATTAGAATTGAACAAATTTAGATGCTCACTTGATGATTCAGCATTCCTTCCAAAAGTCATCATCACTGGTGACGCGGTACTATAATTGTGGTGGTAATTGCTACTACTATGTATTGGTGGATTGAATGTAGAATATGGGGGGCGTGGGCGAGCTATCTGCGTCTCAGCCTCGGAGAAAGTTTCTCTCCGATGAAAATTTCGATGACAATTACAAGCTGCACACTTTAGCGCACCTTCTTCTTCGCTTGGCATGAATTCGCCACATCCGTCAAGGACATGTCCTCCCATGCTTGCAACATGATTCTTGAGACATTCTCGGTATCGTCTAACCACTGATGATGAGCTGGTCGTGGTCGTGGTCGTGCCATTTCCTGAGGTTGTCGATTGTTGTCGTAGTTGTGCTCTATTGGTAGCTGCAACAAGTGGATCCCTTTCTTCTTCTAATTGATGTGAATTTAGTTGGCTATGTCCTTGTAGGGAATGTTGGTTGTGCTGATTTAGAGTTTGGATAGGGCTGAGAATGACATTTCCACTGCCTGCTTTTTCATTTCTTCTAGTATCTGAAAAACTTGAAGATGGATTATAGCCAATGGAGTTTGGTATGCCCATTTCCTTTTCTTGGCCTTTCTGTTCCATATATATATATATAACTCCGAAATGACTCTTTGATCTTTGGACCTCACCTCCAGTTAATCTTTGTTTTTTGGGGGTTAATTACGTACTCAGTAATCTGTTCTAATTAAATCCACAACATGACCCATGTCTTAAATCTGAATCTTATTCCCTATACGCAACCAAATTAAAGAAGCTGATTTGAAAGGGGCGTTATTAAAAAGGTTATTTGTCTCCTTAGAGCCATCAAACCCCATGAAAGGGAAGCATATATATATATATATATATATATATATAAAAGAGGGTTGCACTTGCACTTGCACTTGCGTAGAGTATTTAAAAAGCTAAAGAGCGAAAATGGTAAGTGATGATTTGCTATATGACACTGATGACATAGTGGGACTTACTACTCTACTAAACCACCGACACGCTCATGTTCTCTCTTCTCAAGTTGCACTTTGCTCCAGCAATTTTATTATTGTTAAGAAAATTACTCCATACACAAAGAAAATATTTAAACTAATTTATACTTCTTCCGTTTCAATTCATGTGATGCATTTTGTATATCGAGACTTAAATTTCTTAATTTTTATCGCAAATTTGACATAGATTCTTTAGTTTTTTTAAAATAAAATTTATATATTTGAAAATATTATGAGTCATAATAATTAATAATTTAAAATATTTAAAAAATATATAAAATGATGGTTAAAAAATATTATTTGACTTCCGAAATTTGACATGCATCACATATATTGGGACAAAGAAAGATGTTTTTATCTTATTCACTTTTTAATTAATAAGTAACCACTTTCATATTACAAACTACAGTCAAACTTCTATATTATTGCCCGTCTCTTTTGATATTATTTTGTTGTTACATCGAATGATTGTTATACACCTATAATAATACTTGAAGTTTAAATATTGTTTGTTTGTTATAAATAAAAAATATTTTTAATATTACATATAAAAAATAAATAAGTTATTCAAATTTAAAATCTCAAAAAATATATATTTTTTAATAATTAAATATTAGATAAAGCTAATACGTTATTAATAAATTCATAACTAAATATACAAAAAATTTAATTTTATGGCACACATTTTAAAGTTATTTAAAAATAAAAATCTTTCAAGTTTAATGAAAAAACTCTGTTTCATGGAGAGAGAGATGGATGCATTGTACCATTGTGACACAAGTTTGCTTTGCGGAAAATCTTTAAGCGATTCGTATTAATTCTTTGCCTAATCATGGCTTAAGTTTTGAGAATCAAACATAATTAAGATGCAATTATAGGCAAAGATTAGAGTGGTAACAATGGTTTTACAATACTGGATTGCTAATCCATTCATTATTTTTTTTACATAAAGCTCAGACACAGGAAAGGATCGATTGCAGACATTTTGGTGCTTTAAGAGGAAAGAGGTGAGAAATTGTAAATAAGGAAGCAGCATGTTGGTCCCGTTAGTGTGCGTGTCAGATTGTCTTCTCTATTAACTTAAAAAGTATTCTCTATCTCTCTCCCCAAAATCGGTGAATCGGTAATTGATTTGTCTTTTATCACAAGTGTGTTCTGGTAATATTAATATGACGATATTTATCAATATCAATTCACATTAACATATGTGGCTCTTGTGTTGCTTAATTTAATTTCTTGTGTTTAGCTTAGGACCGATTAATGTGAGATTCTAAGGCCTCATTTGTTTGCTTTAATGGAGATTTGAATCTTAATCATTCAAATTTTAGACATTAAATGCGTTTATTTTTAAAGTCTGAATCTTAATTATTAAGATCTTAATCATTAAGTATTTTTTTTTCTTACTTCACAATCACTTAATGGGTCTGAATAGGTCTGTATGATTAAGATCCATAACAGAGACTTAATTTTATTAAGATGCTATCATCCATATTCATTATTAATTGTCGCCACCGCCTACCATTATCAACTATCACCATGCCACCACCACCACCACCATACTTAGCGATTATCACCACCATCATCCTCAATCATAGCCGCCACCATAATCGACTACCACCACCCGCCATCCGCACCACTCCCACCACCATCATTCTCAACAACAAACACTCATCCACCTCAACTACCACAACTAACCACCTTATCACTATCAACAATCATAACCGGCACTACCCATCATTATAAACTACCACCACTCACCACCACCTTCCTCAATCACAACTACTACCACCACCCGCCATTATTAACTATCACCACTCACCACCACCATCCTCAATCATAATCGCCACCACTACTAATCACCACTAGCTACTACCCTTGAACTACCACCATCAAACAAACCTATCACCAACCACCGCCTCTATTCGGCATTCACAAGCACCATCGTTAGCCATCACCACCAGCAACTACTATATTTTTACAAAAGTTATATTTTTATTGATAGAATATTAGATTAATTAGTATTTCATTTGAATTTTATATTTATTAATTTTCAAATAACGATAAATTTTATACATTCAGATATTAAAAATCAAAAGTCTTAATTATTTAGTATTCATATCTTAATACACATCTTAATATTCAAATGTGTATTCAGATTTAGATGTCGTAATCTTAATACACATCTTGATATTTAAATGTGTATTCAGATTCAGACGTCTTAATCTTTAAAAAAACAAATGAGGCCTAAGTCTCTAAGAAAACATGTTGTACTATAAAACTTCCATTATAACTGTGGAGTGGTATATACAATTTTCTTCTTAATATGTGGTTAAGTGTGTTAGGACCATGGGCGGCTCAACGAATCTCATGGCTTAAAGCGAAACCATACTAAGAGACCCTTAAATTTATTTTATAAAATATTTACACTAGTAACAAAAATTGCTTTTTAAATAACAAATTAATCATTTAAGACCAAAAAAAAAATCAATTTCAAAAAAAAATAAAAAGGAAGAAGAGCACACAAAATAAAGTGGTGGACTATCGGATGTGGAGGTCCAGAACTCAAAGTGAAAATTTTGATTTGGCTATCATCACAAACAAGAAAAAGAAACAAACGTATATAACGTAATAACTTAAATTTTGAGCATTGACGGTGTCAAAAATATTTTCTCCTTCTGATCAATTTAAACGCTGATTGTAGTTCATTATATTAAGTAGCACTTATTGGTGAATATCTAAAATAAATTATAAATAACCCTAATATAATATGTCGAATTACACTAAAAGAAAACCGATGCATGAATGCTTTTGTGTTCATGCAGTTTTAGAGAATATTGTAAAAGATATTTATTATGTTGTTGATATATATAACTTAATTCCTATATAAAAAGGATAAAACTAAAATTGAAGAGTGAAGCAATTATACCAATTAATGAGGAAAGAAAATTATCATAATTTATACATTTATTATATAAAATAATCTCAATCAAGTAACAAAAAATATACTGTAATATTTTTCTTTATATAAATTATTTAATATATAGTAATAATAATAAAAATTTAAAATAAATTTGGGGCCTTCAAATTTTGGGGGTCTGCGGTCATACTGTCCAAAGCCTTAGAGCCGCCCCGGTTAGGATATTATATGCTGGAGTGAAGGGATTTCTCAATAGATACGAGACGCGAGTAAGAAAAGGTAAAAAGAGCAAAGTACTACTAACCACTGGCGGAGCCACCTTATACTTAGGGTATCAATTTGATATTTTTTGTCAAAAAATTACATTGTTTAGCTAGGTCAAAATTTTATTTTTTTGTGTATATATATTATATGTTGACTTTTTTTATATTTTTTATGTGTGTACTCTTTTATATTTTGACATCTCCTAATAAATTTTCTAACTCCGCCACTACTACTCTACTCTACTTTATTTATAGCAACAGCAAAGTAGTATACCATATGCTCCCATAAGAAGTTCGTAATGACCAACATCAATTGCTTTGCAATAGAAATTGAAAACCAATATCCTGTTTAAATATCTACTATAGTTCTAGAAATCAGCTTACGACCTACTTTTGCTTGAGCTATTTGACAACTAATGAGATAAATAGTAATCCTCCATTTACTTTTACTTGTCCACTTTGAACTTTTCACACACCTTAAGAATCAATCAAAAAAATATGTATTTTATAATTTTACTCGTAATAATGATAGCACTCTAAAAAGTATGAAAAATAATTTGGGGAATAAATAATTAATGATAAGGGTAAAATAAGGAGAAAATATAGTATAGTGAACAAGTAAAAATAAAAATATATTTTTAGTATAATTGACAACTGAAAGTGAACGGATTAAGTAGTAATAAAATCGAGTTAAAATAAGCGAAAAAGGGCCAAAAATGCCCTTGAACTATTTGAAATAGCTAAAAAATGGTCTCCGTTTGTTTTTGGTACCAAAAATATCCATTCCGTCTATGTTTTGGACCACAAATACCCTTAAGTTGTTAGTTTTGCCATTGAAGGTGACATGACAGTCAAACTAGGTTAGATTTGCTTACATGGCCATCCACCCAAGCAATTCAACAGGGCAAAATTATTTTTTCAGAAATTTTTTTAAAATAAAAAATTAACACTTATTCTGAAAAAAGTAAAATATTTCCGGAAAAATTATTTTTTTTGTAAATTTTTATTAAAATACAAAATCAACACTTATTCCGAAAAAAGTAAAAATTTCAAATTTTTTTATTAAAGTACAAAATCAACACTTATTCCGAAAAAAGTAAAAATTTTGAAATTTTTTATTAAAGTACAAAATCAACACTTATTCCGAAAAAAGTAAAAATTTTGAAATTTTTTATTAAAGTACAAAATCAACACTTATTCCGAAAAAAGTAAAAACTTTCCGGATTCTGATAGCGATTTGATTTTTTATTTTAATAAAAATTTCCGAAAAGAATAGTTTTTCCTGAATTTTTTTACTTTTTTCGGAATAAGTGTTGATTTTGTATTTTTAAAAAATTTCGAAAAAATAATTTTTCCGAAAAAATAATTTTGACATATTAGATTGCTTGGGTGGAT